CTTCAGCTATTTTTGCGGAGGCTCCTCCTTGGAGAGCCTCCGGGGGCCTCGCGGAAGGTTATCAAGCTTTCTGAAGGCCTTCTGGAGGCCTGCTGGGCGTCTTCTGGGGGCCTCTGGAGCTTCCTCGGGCCACCCTGCCTCCAACCGCGGTCTCCCTGAACGACTGGGTCACGATTTGGACTGCTTCGGAGGGCGTCTTGGGGCCATCTTGGGCTGTCATGGGGCTCTCCTAGGCCATCTTGGAACCCTGTTGTGCCGTTTGGGGGTTTTCTTGGGTTGCCTGGACACCCTTTCGGATAGTTGTCGGGCGATGTTCAAGCCTCCCAGGCGGCTTCGGACGCCCAGAAAAGAGGGAAACCCCAACATTCACCAAAAACCATTAGAAACATGAGCGTTCCTCTGGGGCCATGGGAGTGCTCTTGGACGCCTTTGGGACGTTTTGGAGCGATCTTTGGGGGCATGCCGGTTCTATAGGGGTCGTCGTGGACGGTCTTGGGGTTTTTTGGGGTCGTTTCAGGAGCGCGCCGGAAAGCTTGGAGCCATTCGGGGCCGTTTTCGGGCTCTGCCCAGGTCGTCTGGACGGTTGCCCGAGGGGCCTGGGGTGGGCCAAATTCGTTAGGTGGGAGGGGGCGTCGCTTCGCGCCATGCGCCTTGTTCCGGACCAGCCCCCTCTTCCGCTTCTTCCGATGGTTGAGTCCATCCTTTGAAGAAGTAAGGATCGTGCCCATACGCGCCGAAAAGGTCGCAGTAGGTCCGATCAAATCGATTTGTGGCCGCTTCATGAATGCCTGGAGGGCCCCAGGAATTCAGGAAAATTTCGATCGTCGAACTTCAAATCTAGATCCATTGCCTGTTTCTCCCGATGGAGGAACTTAAGCCTCGAGCCTCAAGCGTGGAACCAAGATCGTCGGGTCAGCTCGATGTACTTCGTAGGAGAACGCCGTATGGATGTTTTTGGTGCTCTTTTGGGCCGTCCTGGTGCCCTCTTGGGCCGTCCTGGGGCCTTTTTGGGCCGTCCTGGGGCCTTTTTGAGCGGTTTTGGGGAGCTGGGGCGCTCCAGAGGTCTGCTGAAGCCAGCTAGGCCCCTCCAATGGCCTTCTCAGGGGTCTCCCATGGCTTTCGTGGGTCTCTCTTGGGAGCCTTCTGGGGGCAACTTGGGCTCATCTTGGGCAGTCTCGGGGCTTTCTGGGGCAGTCTTGGGGCCCTCTTGGGCCGTTTAAACCTTCTGGGGGGCCTCTTGGGTCGTCTTGGGGCGATATCGGGGGCCCATCGTGCCGTCTTGAACGCTGCGGAGACCCCAGAAACGGATATGCTAAAAGTATACATTTTCTCACGGGGATGAGACGATGTTTGCTTCTTCGGGGCTCTCTAAAAGGCCTCTTGGGGCGTCTTGCGGGCCTCTGAGGCCGTTTTCAAACCATCGAGGTTCATTTTGGAGCGTTCTTGTGTTGTGTTGTCTTGGGTCTCCCTTGCACCTCTAGCGGGTGGGGGGTGGGGGGTGGGGTGGGAGGGCGCGTAATAAAAATATAATATCAGGAATGAATTAGTATACACATACCTATACGACCGCCGGCGATAAGGAGGTTGGGATGGTGGTGGTGGAGATCAAATGCCCACCCTGACTGACCTCCAGCCGGTCACCTTGATCTCATCTCTCAGTTTCTCTCTGTCTCTTTATTTCTTTCTCTCTCTCTCTCTCTCTCTCTCCTTCTCACGGGATAAGATGGGACAATATGGGATGGATAAGATAAGATGGATTGGATAGGACAAGATGGATTGGATGAGGTAAGCTGGATTGGATAAGAAAGCCCGCCACAGGCGCCGACACAAATAAATTGATGGATTGGGTTGGGTCGATTGGGTGGGATAAAATGGATTTGATCAGATAAGGTGGGTTGGATAGGAAGAAATGGATTTGATAAGATAATATTGATTTGATTGGCCCGCCGCAGACGCAGAAACAAATGAATTGATGGATTGGGTTGGGTGGATTGGATTGGATGGGATAAGATAAGATGGGACAAGATGGGTTGGATCAGATAAGATGGATTGGATTGGACAAGATGGATTGGAGAAGATAAGCTGGATTGGATAAGACAGCCCGCCGCAGGCGCCGAAAAATCATGAATCATGAAATTAGCGACATGCGTTAGCGCCGGGACGCCCTGGACACCCGGGACATCCGGGACACCACCCGGCCCAAGGACACTTCAGCGGCCGCCGGCGGACGGGACACGGACTTTCGCTCCTACTGACACCCGGGGCACCCGGGACACCGCCCGGCCCAACTGGGACACCTCCCGGCCACCGGCGGACGGGAAACGGACTTTTTCTCCTACTTCGGCGTAGCTACAGGCGGATCACGCGCAGCTTCGCGTCGCCACCACGCACGACACGAACACGAAACCGAAACCGATTTCCCGGTGGGGGGTCTCCGTTTCATTGCGATCTCACCCCCCAACCTCCGATATATATAGATATATAAAAATATATGTATACATATATATATACACATATATATATACATACATACATATATACATATATATATATATATACAAGACTTGAGGGCTCGCTTCGCTTCGCCTCAAATCTTGGTCCTGCGTCCTTGCACTGCCAATTACACGGGGAACGGGCGAATACTGAGAGCAGGTGGTGACCACGAGGGGGGTCACGGTCATCACCCCGGAACGTCCCACACGCAAGTCGTTGGTTGGGAAGCAAATGCATCGGCGCGACGGGGCCAAATCTCGAATGCGAGGTGGGAGGAAGTGGTGACCTCGAGGGTGGTCGAGGTCATGATGTCCAAGGAGGAATGCCATGAGGGTGAACGGAACACAGACTGAAACGAATGATGCGATGCTATGAAGGGGAGGATGAGGAAGAGGAGGAGGAGGACGCCGACGACGAGGACGATGACGACGGGACAGAGGGCCCCAGAGTTGCCGCAAGGGGGCAGGTCGTGGCGGAATGCGTTGTTGGCAGCAAGGGAGCTGATGTGATGACCTTAAGAGGGGTGAAGGTCACGAAGTCGAGAAACGATTTGAATGGGTGCGAGTGGGGGCCGCGGGCACGTGCAAGCAAGGTGGATGTGAGGAACGTCGGAGAGAGGCAATGGTCAATGCGACGAGGGGGCGACGCTGATGACCGCGAGGGGGGTGAAGGTCACCGCTCGGAAAAAGGGTGGCCAGCTCCACCGTGAGAGGGGGACGCAAGGAAATTTGTTTCCGCGGTCATGATCGACAGGCAGCAGGTCGCTTCCGGGGCGTAAGCAACCAGAGGATGAGGAGGAAAGCGAGTTAGCTATCTTGGAGCCCCATGGGCCCTTTGCAAGTCTTGGGGGGGGTGTTTTGTTTAAGCCTCCGCGGGTTTCATCGGATTCCTTTGCTGCGTTTGGCGGGCCCCCAGATATCCTGGTAAGAGGGTGGGGGAAGGCGAAGGCGCTCGAAATCGGTTTTCCTACTTCTCCCGGGGCCCACCCGACGCAGTTGTCCCACGTGTTTGTTTTTTGCGGCTCTGACGCCCGAAACCTGCCTGCAGGGGCCGAAAACGACGAGGAATGTCCTCGAACCAGTGGTGGACCATCTCAGCCCCCCAGCGCCTCAAAGCTTAATTCGAGGTCCAAGCAACAGGGGTATGTAGTATCGGTACCTATCTAGTGATACCCACAGGTCCGCAGAGTGACGACGTCGCGCCCCTGGCGTCGCGGCGCCGTGGCGCCGACACTACAGCTGAAGCGGGCAAAAAAGAATGGCTGAAGCTGAGACGAGAGGTAAGGCTGGAGAAAGCGCGAGAACCATCGACGGACCAAAATTTTACATCCGATGAAGGCCAGGTGCCGGGACCCCTCCTGGGGTCCACGTGTGCTGTGATTCGCGCCGCGTGTAGCCGCGGCGACCAGGTTCGGACCGCGACGTGATTTTCGGCGGCGACGCCGAAGGAAACAAACATAAAACTTCCGCTGTCCATCGTCCGTGTTTGCGTGCGCGTCCATCTGAACCGCCGCTCGTCCTGCGTACTATTCTTTTCCTCCGCCTCCCCCGCTCCAATTGTGTGAAGGTGTTGGTGTTTTTTTCAGGGCGTCCCGTCGGGGCCGGTTGGGCTTTCCTGTGAGGGCTCTTGGAGGGTTCGCAAGGCTTCTTGGGAGCCCTTGGATAGCTTCCGGGAGTCGCCTAGGGCGTTCGGACCATCCCGCCACCGTGCCTGGGCTGTGGCTCAAAAGCCTCTTGAGTGTTCCTTGGAATCTCGTGGTACGCCTTTCGGGGGCTTCTGGGCAGCAGTTTCGAAGCCTCTCGGGGAGCTGTTGCGGGCCTCTTGGGGCATTTTTGGGGCCCCTAGGGGGTTTCCTCCGTAGCCATTTTGGCTCAAGCGAGCCTGGCGTGCGGGAGGCCCTCGCGCGGCGCGCGCCCGTGGGGCGCTCGGGCGCGTGCCAGCGGCCATGGGGAGCAGTGCTGGGGGCAGGCGCTGGGCTGCGGCCAGCGCGCGCTCGCTGGCACGACGCCTTCGGCGGATGCGAAGGCAAGCCGATGGCGAGACGCGGGCCTCGGCGCTCGCGGTGAGGACCGCCGCCATCCGTCGCGCCCTGGCGGCGCACTGGCGGCTGGCGGATCGCCTGGGCGGCCACGCTCCCACCTTCGGCGAGGTTGTTGCCGCGGGGCGGGTCCTGGGCATCAGCGACGACATCCTGGAGGCAGCGGTCGAGGACCTGGAATGGGGCAATTGGGCCCGACACGCCGCGCCGCCTCGCGCGGCGAAGATGCGGCCTGTGCCCCTGGAGGCTATCTCGGTCGCGGATGTCGAGCGGAAGCTGCAGATGACGGACGGCGGCTCCAGGCTGGACGCGGGGGCGGCCCCCTGTCAGCCGCGGCGGCCCCCAGGGGTCTGGGGAGCGCCAGCGCAGCAGCGGGAGGACGCGCTCCTGGAAACTCTCGGCGTGACGCCCAGGGTGGAGGAGTGCGAGCAACACGCACCTGAGCGGAGCCTGACGGCGGAGCTTGGGGAGTCGGTGCAGGAGGCGCCCCCTCCCTTTCTCTTCTACGGGGGCTCGGCGCAGGAGCTGGTGGAGAAGGACGTGGAGGAGCTGGAGAGCGAGGACGTGGCACGGAAGCGCGGCTTGCTGGCACCTGGCGTCTGGCAGGCGGAGAATCCTGTGGCGGAGGTTCAGGCCTTCACGGGAGGCTTCGCAGCCGGGTGGCGTTTGGGCGAGCTGGCGGCGCTGGAGGCCGAGCGGGCCGATGAGGACGCGCAGCTCGAGAGCATCGCGCGGCTGGAGGACGCCTGGAAGCTAGTCAAGGCGCGCAACGTGGCGCTGGAGGAGCAGCTGGCAGGCAGGCGTCGGGCCATAGCAGCCACCATCTACGGCGAGCTCGGGACGGGCACTGCCGCGGCGGTTGCAGGCGACGCAAAACGTGACGACGCACGGGGAGGTCTAGGCGAGGGCACCGGGGAGGACGAGGGGAGGACGGCGAGCAGCACGACGTGCACTGCAGCTCCCCGCACGTCTTCCCGAGGCGCCGCAGTCGCGACCTACCTGGAGGAGTTCCCCTCGGCCCTGCTGCGCGGGGGCGGCGAGGGGGAGGTGCCCCAGGAGACGGAGGAGAAGGAGGGGATCCTGGGGCACGAGGTGGCGGAGCTCGAGGCGCAGGGCGTCGAGGGCTTCGTGGCGCCTGAAGGCAACAGCACCGACGAGCCGAAGGAGCGGTGCCTGCTGACGGGCGAGGTGCTGCAGGGACCGAGGTGGACGCCGACGGACCTGCCGCCCGACCCTGGGGAGGGTCTCCTGTTCGGCGATCCCGACGCGCGAGGTCGGAGGCGCCGTGCAGGCAAGAGCAAGAGTGCGGTGCCCTGAGGCCAGGTCGCGTCGCGGGCGCCTCGGGGCTCCGCCTGGCTCGGAGCTGGCGTGCTCGGCAAATGCTGGGCTAGCAAGTGCTCAAGCCGCGGATGCGGCGGTCGGGCCTCGTGGCGGGAATCCGCTGGGGGCCTTGGGGAGAACAAAAAAAGCCCCTAGGGGGTTTTCTTGAAGTGTTGGGGGCCTCTTGGAGGGCTTTTAGAAGCCTCTTGGAGCCGTCTTGGGGGCTTCTGGGGCTTCGTCGGGGTAGAAAATATGATTCTCGATTTCTTGGTCGCCCTCGTGGGTCCCTCTTGACGCCTTCTCGGAGCTCTCTCGGGCCTCTTGGACGCCTCTTGGGCTGTCGTGGGGCCCTCCAGAGCCGTTTTGGGGCCTCTTGGGGTTGTCTTGGGAGCCTCCCGGGCTGTCTCCGGACGGTCTTGAGAGCCTCTTGGGCAGTCTTGGAGCGTCGGCAAGCCGAAGAGACGAGAAAACCAAAAACATTTAAAACACAATGATGTTTGCCTGTCGGGGCCCTCTTGGGAAGCTTCTTTGGAGCCTCTTGGGGCGTCTTGGGGGTCTCTTGAGAAGTCTTGGGGCCTTTCGGCGCTCCTGTGCTGTCGCGGGGCTCTTCGTCGGCCACACTGATGACCCCTTCGATCCTCTTGGGTCTGATGGCGAGGCCCGGCAAGGCGCCCTGGGAGGCGCGGGCGAGCCTTCCCGGGAGCGGGGGGGACCGTCCCGAAGGTAATTATGTGGGGGGGGGGGGGGGGGGGGGGGGGGCATGTGGGGTGATGACCATCCAGGGGGGGTCCATGCAGGATGTATAATCATAGGAATGTATATACCTGTGCGACCACCCTGCGGGTGATAAGGAGGTTGTGGGGGGGTGGGGGGAGGGGGGTGGCTCATGACGACAACTGTGATGAACGTGGTGCTGATGGGCGACGATGGGGTGGATGCCGGCGACAACCATGATGAGCAACCATCCCATAGACGCGACAACCATGATGAGCAACCATGGTGAGCAACCATGATGAGCAACCGGCGGGCAACCGACGGGACAACGTGGGCTACCGCTTGACAAGGCCAGGGGGGGGGAAACATTTGTGTTGGCGGACCCTTAGCGACAGCAGAGTGAATTCCTCTCGCTGGCCCACGCAGATTTGCCTCGCCCGCACGCACGTCACGAGCACGAAATCGAAACTTGATTTCCAAGTGGGGGGACTCCGTTACACTGCGATCTCACCCCCCAACCTCCGACATACAGACATACATACAGACATACAGACATACAGACATGCAGACATACATGTGTATATGAGTGTATTCCACTGCGCGGCCCGAAAGGTCCCAACCCCTTCCATGGGGGTCATGTAGGGTCCTGGCTAAATGTTTGATGGCCATGGAGTCCGACACCGGGCCTCGGAGGCCAAAACATATGAAAAACGCTTGGAATACAGAAGATGTATAATTCGAGGTTTGGGTCTTGGTTCGGTGATCGAGGACGCCGGGGTGTTTTTCATGCCTCTGTCCTCTCTTGCTGTTACTTCGCGAGGCGGCCCACGGAGCAAAAGGCCGTGAAATGTGGCGGCCCAGCGCCGATCACGGGCATGGCAGGGTAATTAGTGTTTTTCCCTCGTGCCAGGTTGATCGCGGAGGGAAATCATGACACATGTTTGTTGGCGGCGGCGACCCCCACATCTGAAATTCACATTACCCCTGTCTGTAATTCAGATTGCTTCTGTCTGAAATTCAGATTGCCCCCCCCCCCCCGTGGATTCGGGCGAGGCGTTATGCCTGAGACTTCTGCACATAAGTTATTCAGATAGGCCCGGTCTGAAATTCTTACTATTGGCCCGGTCTGAAATTCTGACTGGCCCTGTCTGAATTTCAGATTGCCCACGTCTGAATGTCAGATGTGGTGGCTGGTGCCGCTGCCCTGGGGACGAGCGTGGTCGACGTTTGCGCTCCTGCGTGGTTGCGACATTGGACATGAGAGTGTCCTTGCACGTCTGCTAGGGCAGCTGGCACTCGAAACCCTGATGTTCCCTTGGACGTGGCGCGCCTCTCGGATGCGGGAACATCAGAAGCCGATGTTTCATGGTTTCGGGGTGTCTGGTGATGGCCACGTAGTCATTGCCCCCCGCGATTCTCGATGGTACTTCCCAGCAGTGGCTGGACGGCCACGGGCGCGAAGTGTTGGCGCTTACGAGAGAGCGGTCTTGCCTCCGCGACCGGAGGGGAGCCCCGCGAGGCTGGGCCACGACCGCTCCGCGCACGCCGCCGGTCCCCCCCCCCCCAAGAACGGCACATCCCATCTTGTCGGAGGCGACGATAGGGTCGAATAGCCCAGAGGGGGAGCAATACATGTATCCAGGGGTGCCGATGATCTATGTCTTCGACAAGGCGCCCGGGCGAATGCGTGTAATGCCCGCCCCTGGGCTATTCGCCCCTATCGTCGCCGCCGATCTTGCCCCGCCAGATTCCCCATGGCGTTAGGCGTCGCGAAGCAAAAAAGAACCAGGCGCGACCCCGAGGCGCGTTCCAAAAGAATGAATCGAAGCAGTGCCGAGCAGTTCGAGGCATCGTTTGGCAATGTTTTGCTCTGATTTGCATTGCTGGTGTGGCTTGGCGTGTCTTGGAATCGTTGCTAGGCCTTGCTTGGCATCATGTTGTCATTGCTTGGGTTTGACTCGCATCGCTTAATTTAATTTGGCATCGTTTGGAGAAACCCGAGGAACCCAAACAAGGAACCCCGAGGAACCCAAGCAAGGAATCCCAGGAACCATGGGGAAACGCGTCGCACCTTCCAGCTGTTTCAGAAACTATGAGGAACCGCCGACTCGCCCTCCGCCTCGTTCAGCAACCCCACCGCCGCACCTTTCAGGCGGTGTGATTTGACCAGAGCATCGGGGGGGATCCGGCCGTGGCGACGAGAAGGTAGCAAGGAGGCTAGAAAAGGACGCAGGACGCCCAAGGACCTTCACCCTCGAGTTTCTGGCTCCTCCTGCGGCTCCTCCAGCTCCAGAGAGAGGACATGAGACGGGTCTCACAGCCCGGCCCGTGCTCCGAGAATGGCTTACAAGGCCGTCCCGGATATCCTTTCGCACTGGCTTCTTGCCTCCGTTGTCGGACCCAGATCGGCACGATCGACGTAGTCAATTACGGCAAGGATGGGGACGAAGGCCGACAGCAGTTCCTCCGCATTTTGTGCAGGACTCGCTGTCGGTGTCACCGCGGACGTTGTCCGCTGGAGTTGAAAAACGCCTGCCCAACGTCGGCCGCCGTCGGTATTGGTCAACATATGATGTTGGGCATCGTGCCCATTGTTTTCCGCTCCCTTTTCGCGCGTGCCAACCAGACCTCCGGCGTCGCGATTTGATCAGAATGTGGAACCCCGATGGTCCCGACCCTTTTCCCTGGGTCAGCTTTCTCATCCTGAGTCTGTTTCTGAAAGTCCTCGGGCCCGAAGACGGACCCCCAGGGGGCAAAAGCGACAAAACATCTGCAGCTGCGATCCTTCTGGAGGGTCCCAACAACCGAACCGCGCAAACCGAAAAACCAGGTCTGAAAAACTCTTATCGCACAAACCTGGTCCCAAACGCAGCTGGGCGTTTGAAACCTGGTACCGGCCGCCGTCGAGCTCTGCAAACCCCGTGTGAAATTCATTCGAACGCTATTAGCCCGGCTCCAGGTGCTCTCGAACATGCGGCGCAAGCAGGGTCTGAGAGAGCATTTCGAGGTGGAAGACGAAGACGACGACGAAGCAGCGTCAGCCTGGCCCGAGCGCGTCTCAAACGAGGTGGCACCTCCAGCGGGATTGCTCCTGTTCGGTGACGGCTGCGCTCCTGATGAGGCGCCCGGCCATGACTTGCGCCCCCCCTCCTGGACGCACCCTTCTTGGACGCCCCCCTCCAGGGGCGGGCATCATGGCAGGGCCACGGCGGCTCTCAGACGTCGCAGCCCCCTCCTCTTCCCTCTTCGGGGCCCGACAGCGGGCCCCGAAGAGGCGGCAACCGAGGGACAAAGGAGAACGCCGGGGCTGACAAGAAGATCGCGTCGGCGGAGCTCTGTGCGGCCAATCTACTCCTCCTCTGCCTCCTCCTCCTCCACCACCTCCTCCTCCTCCTCCTCCTCCACCTCCTCAACCACCTCCTCCTCCTCTGCCTCCTCGTCCTCCACCACCTCTTCCTCCTCCACCACCTCTTCCTCCTCCTCCCCCTCCTCCTCCCGCGGCCGCAGCACCAGGACGAGCCCCACGGCAAGACGGTCACGCTGATCGGCGAGGTGCCGGCGGCCCCCGTGTCCGCGGCATTGGCCGAGCCGCCCGCTAAGAGGCCGAAGATGGCTGTGGTCGTCGTCGTCGTCGTCGTCGTCGTCGTCGTCGTCGTCGTCGTCGTCGTCGTCGTCGTCGTCTCGGGCTGGACGAAAGAGGGTGATTGGGAAAGGGGGGGGTACGAAATCTGCTGCATGCAGCTTGTTTTGGCCCCTCCGAGGGGCCCATTCCTCGATACATAGCCGCCTCCGGCGCCGGGAGGCTCCGGGAAAATCAGCTACGTGAGCTGATTCTCAAACCCCCACTTTGCTATCCCCCCCTTTCGCCCGGCCCGATCGTCGTCGTCGTCGTCGTCGTCGTCTTGTCAGCGCCGTCCCGTCGTCAGCGCCGTCCTGCCGCCGGATGTGCTCGCGTCGTGGAGCAATCTCGATTGGAGGTCGTTGGCCGTTCTCGGCCTCCGGGGACCCTCGCCGACCTTCCGGGACCGTCCACAGCAAGAGTCGGGATAAAAACGGGCTCTGGGGCTCGGGAGTTGTGGGGACCCCGCATCGGTGCCTGGGGTCGTCCCGTCGTCGGCCTCGTCGTCGTCGTCGTCGTCGTCGTCGTCGTCGTCGTCGGGTTCGATGATCAAGTTTTTCTACCGTCTGCGGCCCCCCTCGGGCCTCTGGCGCCGTCCAGTGGCGGCCGACGTCGTCGTCGTCGTCTCGGAGGTCTTGGCGCGCGCTCCCCCGCGGAGGATTTTTCGTGTGGCCACGGCCCGGCGAGCCTCGGAGGGCAGCTGGCCAGGAGGGGCCCCCCTGCGAGGGCCCGGTGGCCCAGTCTGAGCGGAGTTTGCCCAGCTGGCTGTCATCATCTTGTCGCCGTTGACGCTCGAGGTTCGAGGTACACACACTGTTCATCTCTGATGTTTCGGGAGTGCTTGGATTTTTGGGGGGCCCGAGATCCTTTCCTTTCTGATTGTTCTATCCTGGGCCTCTTCCTGGCCACTAGGAGGCCAGGAACAATTAGAAACGAGCACACTTAGAAATGGGCACGATTGGAAATGAACGACGTGTACGGTACGGTAGGTTCGCGTCGTGTCCACTGGCGGAGACCCGCCTTGAACGCCGCTGGCGATTGAGACCCGGTCCCTGTTGAACGATCCGACGTTTCGGAAACGGCCGATAGTTCAGGCTTGAGCGATCCCTGGGGTGTCAGAAACCAATGCCGAAGTCGGCACGACACGAACCTGCCGCAGTCGAGTTCAAGGCTCTGGCCCCCATGCTTGCTCCTGCCGAGGCTGAAGATGATCGAGGCGCAGGCCCCGGCGGTGCCCGTCGCGTTTGACCACGAGAAGGCCGCGCAAGCCGTGGCGGTCTCGGCCGCCGCTGTCGGGTCCTGGGGATCGAGTACTCCTTCTTTTCCTCCTCCTCCTCGTCCTCCCCCTCCCCCTCCTCCTCCGCCTCCTCCTCCTCGTCCTCGTCCTCCTCCTCCTCCTCCTCCTCCTCCTCCTCCTCCTCCTCCTCGTGTAGTTGGGCTTGGCAGCGCGGCCCCGCAGCCATTTTGCCCTGCCGCGGGCGGCACGCCGTGTCATAGCACCCAGGCCGCACCACGAAGAGGCGGCAAAACGGCAAAAAAAGTCTCGCGTCGTGATGAAGTCACGGCGCGAGGTTTCTGTGTCGTTGTTTCGCCTCCAGGAGCCCTCCCCCTGCCCCCGGGCCTTCCTCGAGCGGCTCGGGAGGAGAAGCCGGTCCCAGGGCAGGGGTCCCGCTTTCCGACGGGTCAAGGAACGTTTGTTCCGCTATTTCTCTGAATCGAGACGGGGATCGACTACTGACTACAGAATTGAGTTACCCCAAAAGTAGTTGGTCGCAGAACTCGGAGTAGATGCACGAATATTATACGTATTAGTTTTCAGACTCGACGACCGAACCAGGTTTGGGGTGAATCAGTTCTGTAGTCGATCCTCCAAGGTACTCGACGGAAGCCGGATACGCACATGACGCGGCGGGCTGGGCGCGGGTTGATGGGGGGCGCCAAATAATACGGGGGGGACAGCGAGGGAGCCTTTAGGGCCCGAAGAAGGCTTTCTCCCCCCACTGCATCGCCCCCCAATTATACTTCGCGCCCACGCCAGTCTGGGCGAGAGCTGGCTGAGCACATGTGGCCGTAGGTCTGTACATGTACACCTGCAAAGGACGGAGGGCTGTACACGCCCAAGCGATGGTTTGAGAGCACGAGGAGCTTCGCACGGCGCGGGGTGCGAAACTGGGAGGCCCCGGGTCCACTCGGTTCGGGGTGGATGTGTGCTTTCACCAGCTGCCAGGAGCCAGGGCTCGGCGGGGTCGCCGGGACGGTCGCAGTGACTCGACCTGGTCGGCCTTTCCTGTCCCCGGCCCCGACACCGGTTCGGTCAGGTGTCTTTCTCGGGCACCGCGCAGACACAAAGGCTGCATCGGATCGCCATTCGTAAACATTCTGGCTCCAGCGACCTTGGGAGCTTCTCGATCTTTTGGAGGTCGCCGCGACCGCGCGTCCGCCCCGCAGAGCTGCGCTGACCGCCGATATGGCGGTGGACCGCGATAAGGAGGTGTACTTTGCAGAGCTTGCGGAGCAGGCTGAGCGCTACGACGAGATGGCGAACCACATGGAAGCAGTAGGGAAGTTGGGTGCCGGGCTGTCGGACGAAGAGCGCAATATCTTGTCCGTGGCCCACAAGGACGCCGTGGGCTCGCGCCACGACCAGCGTGGAGCAGAAGGAGACGAGCAAAGGGAACGAGGAGAACGCAAAGTTCGCCAAAGAGTATTGTGCGAGAAGGTGGAGGGCAAGCTGGATGAGATCTGTAAAAAAGATCCTGGTTGTGCTGGACGACGGTCTCATCACGAGAGCACCGACAGGCGAGTCGAAGGTCTTCTACCGGCAGCTCTGGCCACGGCACGGCCGGAGGTGTCGAGTGGCAGTGGCCTTCTGGCGCGGCGGAGCCCAGTTGCCGATGCTTGCCAGTTGGCTGTCACCTTCAGTTTCGATGAGGAGGCAAATTCCTTCAAGGCCCTGGCAGACAGATGGGAGGTGCACCGGCCAGGAAAAGGAGAAGTCAAAAAGGACTCGAAGAAACGCCCGGCCAAGGAAGGCGGCGGAGCCATGGACACGAGCCAGTCTCAGATCAAGGGCAGCAAACACCTGTTCCGCCCCCGAAAGGTCTTCATGATCGCCAGCCTGTTCGCGCGAATCTCCGACATCTGGGAGGCGGCCCCAGAGTCCATCGGTGGCGAGGCCAAGAAGCAGGGGCAAGAGCTGATGACCAATTTGAACAGCCTTGAACCCAAGACGTGGAACCATGTGTTCACGGGCTTCCGCAGCATTTTCCCAAGCCCATGCCTGGCCACCCTTGGTTGTGGGCGCTGACGGTTAACATGCTGTTCGTCCCAGATGGCATCAAGGAGCAGTTGCTGGCCTTGATGCAGATCATGTCGTTCGAGTTACGCAATGTGTGTGTCGAGCTGAAGAGAACGTTCCATGGAAAGCCCGAGGGGGACTTCACGACGGGCTCCAAAGCCAGGAGAGAACAGGGGACAGGGAGTGTCCCTCAGAGCTGGTGGTCTGGCGTTGTGTTTCGATGTGCGTTTCGCCGCGTGGAGCACTACCGTCCTCCTTTTGGTGGAGGGGGAGGGCACAGGCCTGGTTCGGACACGGGGTCGGCACCCCCAGTGGCGTTTCCACGGGTTTGCTGGCCCAAGTGGTGATATTTTGCAACGGGGTGTTCTTGACCCTGGGGTGAATTTGTTTTGATCGCGTACCTTGGGCACCTGTATCCGATCCGGGCTACCTGCTCACCTATACATTGATGTTTGAGCCATGATGTTTGAGTCAACGTGTTCACGTTGACCAAGGAGGGCGACGAGAGCAGGGTCACCATCTTGTTGCCCACATGGCTGCTCGAGTTGTATGCCCATTTCCTATCCCAGGTCTTCTACCAGAAGCTGAGAGCCGATTGCTATCGCTACATGGCCGAATACACCAGTGGCGATGCCAAGTCGAAGGCTTCGAATGATCCAAAGGTAGCCCACGAGAAATCGCAAACGATTGCCACTAAGGATTTGCACTCGATCCGCCTTGGCCTTTCTCTGAAATTCTCAGTTTTCCAATGGGAAGTGTTGGCGAATCCGAGCGAGGCGCGCAAAGTACCGCCCACCGCTTCGAGGACCTGACCGCCGAGCTTTAGAATGTCACAGAAGACTCATACAAGGGCCCCGCACTCATCGTGCAGAGGTTGCGCGACAGCCTGACGCTCTGGACATCGGACCTGGAGGGCGCACCCTGAGGGTAGCAGGCTCCGCGCGCAGACTCTGCGGGGCCGCTGGAAGAGCGAGCCAGCTCGTTGGCGGAAGAAAAAACAATGTAATTCTACCGCATCAGATCGCCATGGCGCCAGGCTCTTGTTTCAATGTTTCTTGGAAGCCGGGGGCCAGGCCTGCGCCCGACACCTCGCGGGGGCCTTCCGCTGCGGCCGCAGGCCCACTTCCGATCGACCAGAAAATTCGGCGCAGGTTAAGTCGGAAGGCCCCAGTCCGACGACGGGGGCTCGGACCATACTGCTGATCTGTGATTCGGCCGGAAAGGGGGCCGTCGAGCAAGCTCCTGCGCTCAACGGAGCGCCCCTCGCTTTGGAACAAACATGGCCGGCTGAGTCGGGATCGGGATCATCACGAGCGGCGAACATTCGGGCGTTGTTAAAGGTGTCCCTGGCCCAATCTGCCCCTTGGATTTCCCAGGGGCCCAGTTGGTCTCCAGAGCACACCCCGCGAGGCCCAGGGGCCCCGAAAGGGCGCGGAAAGGTTGGTTTACAGTTTTACCATCTACTCAGGGCCAGTCCGGGGAGGGTCTGAAAACTCTCGCGAGGGGGGGCAGCGGAACAGAGACCGAGAGGGCCATTCGAAGTCCGACTGTAACAAGGCACGGATGCGATAAGGATTTCACCACTGCACATGCGATGGGGCTCTCAGCCCCCAGGTCTACTTCAGTCGAAAAACGCGGCGCGCTGGGCGCCAGCTTCCTGAGCGTGGCATCTCGCCGTAGCTTCCTGAGCTTACTAGTACGACGTCCTAGCATTATCCCCCCCCCCCCCCCCTAAGGGAGGGCGCGGCGGGGCCGACTTCGAGCCCGAAAGGGGCGGGAGGGAAGGAGGGGGTATAGGCGGAAAACAGATTACGATGGGGATGTAACATTGAATTCAATAACCACTATTTACAGTTTTACCACCTACTCAGAGCCAGTTTGGGGAGGGGCTGAACACCCTTGCGAATGGGGGCGGGGGGGGGGGGGGGGGGGGCGGCGGAACAGAGACCGAGAGGGCCATTCGAAGTCCGACTGTAACAGGACACGGATGCGATAAGGATTTCACCACTGCACATGCGATGGAGCTCTCAGCCCCCAGATCTACTTCAGTCGAGAAACGCGGCACGCTGGGTGCCAGCTTCCTGAGCGCGGCATCTCGCCGTAGCTTCCTGAGATTACTAGCAGGACGTCCTAGCATTCTGTATTTTCGGCCCCTCCCAGCCGACCCCGCAGGGCCACTGGCCAAAGGCCTGAACATCAAAAACAGCCGAGCACGGGCAAAACACGGGAGGGGGGGAAGCGAGGCTGAACCACCTGTGTCAACTTAAAAACCACCCCCCACCCCCCCCCCCCCCCGCCCCCCCCCCTCCCCCCCGCCGCCGCCCCCCCCCCACACACACACACACACACACACACACACACACACACACACACACACACACAAACACACACACACACACACACACACACACACACACACACGCACACACACACACGCACCCCCCCCCCGCCCCACCCCGCACCACCAGCACCCCCCCCAAAAAAAAAAAAAACCCAAAGGACCCACTCTTCCCATACTAGGCTCTCTTATGACATACAGGTGGGTGGAGTGGGGGCAGGGTCTAGTTTGACCCGTACAGCCGCACAGGCACCTCGCGCTCTATGGCGCTCGCGAGCGCCTAGATCAGGCGCTTGCCGGGTGGCGTCCCTGACCTGGGGCCTCGCGCGACGGCGTCGTGCACGGCCTGCCGCGGGCGCCGCCAGAAAGCACGGCCCTGCTTGATCTGCGCGCCCTCCAGCTCGCTGGGCTTCTCCACCAGGATGCGGCACTTGGTGTACCTCTGGGGTCCAGCAGTGGAGGCCCAGCGCCCGCGGCGGCGCGCTGCTTCGAGGTCGCCCCCGAGCGCCACGAACCTCGCCGCCGCCGCGTGCCTCACCCCATGCGGTGGCCCCATCTTCTCGAGACCCACGTCCTTCAGCGTCTTCAGCCAGACCCTGCGGAAGCTCGGCTGGGTGAACGCGAAGACCTGATCGTCGGGCTCGCGATCCTGCTCCAGGACCGCCAGCAGCATCTTCGAGATCGGTCACTCCAGGACCGCCCCCTGGTTGGCCCCCGTCTTGGTCTTCTGGCCCAGCATGCGGTCGCCGAGCCTGAGCCCCACGCCGCCGTCAGGGGTGAAGCTCACGTGCTTGGCCCGCGTCATCTCCCGGTCCTGCTCCCGCAGCCATCCGTCCAGCTGGATGATGCACGCGCAGCCCTCCAGCAGGTGACCTGTCTCGAGCATCCTCGCGATGGTCACCGCCATCGCTTGGAAAGGTATCGGGTGCCCCTCTCCCCCGAACTGCATCCGCTCCCACGACTTCAAAGCTCTACGCGCCGTGGGGAGCCTCCCTCGATGATCCTCGAAAGTGTGCATGAACCCGTTGAACGTGAGGGAGGCCTCCATGTAGTTGTCGCCGCGCATATAGCAGAGGTCGCTGATGGAGTTGCCGAGGGCGCGGCCCCTCTGCTCCAGCGTCGCGAAGGGGACCTCCCCCCGCTTGCAGTCCACTAGGAAGGCCCTGACCTCCCGCTCGTAGACGACGTTTGTCGAGTCGTCCACCGCGTGGACCACCAGACGGTTGTTCCAGCGCGGGCGGTCGAGCTTGGCCTGCTGCCATGCTCGCGCCCCTCGCTTCTGCAGCGGGGGGGGGGGGGCCCTCCACGTCGCACTCCATGCGCCACATGCAGCGCCGTCGCCGGCGCGATCCAGAAGGACAGCCGCCCGCCGCTCCTCGTACTTGACGCAGTCCCCGATGGGGCGGCAGCGGCTTCCCACGTCGCCGAGGTGGGCGCCCGCAGCCGCCACGATCTCGCTTGGGATGCGCGAGCCTCCCTGCTGAGAAGGTAGTCGAGCTGCGAGCGAGCCTCCAGGGCCCCGTAGATCACCACCGCCGTTCCTGCACAGCCGCTGCTTCTCGTGTTCGACGTAGTCCCCGATGCGGCGGCAGCAGCAGCCCGCGTCGCCGAGGTAGTCGTCCGCCGCCGCCACGATCTCGCTCGGAGGGCGTGAACCCCCTTCTGAGAGAGTAGTCGAGCTGCAGGCGCGCCACCAAGGTCCCGCAGATCACCGCCGCCACTCCAGCACCTTCAGCAGCGGCCGCACCGACTTCGGCGTCGTCCTCATATTGTGTGCAGCCTTGGTCTCGTCCGCCGCCCCGACGTCGACCCCCCTGCCCGGTCCGCCCGCCATGTTCCACTAACTGGGGACCCATCGGTAGTAGCCCCTGATGCCCAAGGCCAGCGCGATGCCGCAGGCCACCCGCGCCAGCCGCAGCAAGGACGTCGCAGACGAGCGGCCCTTCTGCAGCACACCCATGGAGACCACTGGGCCCGTCATTATCACAACTCGCTTGTTCCAGCATCTCGATGACCTCGCCAGATGTCGAAGCACGCTGATGACGCGCCTCAGCTCCAGCACATTGTCGTGTTCCTCCGTTTCCCAGCGCCCACGGAAGAGCTCGTGCCACCTCGACTCGTCGACCCAGGCGGACCCGATCGGCATCACCTGCCCCCTGCTCCGCTCTACCCGAGGTCGCCCCCGTCGAAGTCGCACTTGCGCCCCCTTCGGCACCTCCTCCCAAGCGTAGTCGAGCTTCTCGAGCCTCGCGCCGCACCCCCTCACGAAGTCGCCCCCGTGGTTGATGGCGACGCCCGAGGCCAGCACGAAGTCGTCCCACAACCCGTTGTCCTCCACAAGGGGCGCCAGGTTGGTCAGCACCAACACCTCCTTCGCCTCCAGTGAGAAGACACCCTCCGAGGCGGCAAGCCTGTCCCACGGGGGCCACCCCAACGTACTCAGCGCTGCAGGCCCCACGACGACACAGCCCAGCCACTCGCGGGCCGCGAGCCTGGCGACCTCGATGAACACCTGCGCGAAGAAGTTGTCCTGGTCGATCTTGTGCTGCATCCTGTCGCTGACCCCGTCGTGGCCCCAGGGCACCTGTGCGCTCCGATAGTAGTCGTCCATGAAGGTGTCCAAAAACATGGTGAGATGGCAGACCCAATACCATCGCCTCCGCAGGCGACTGAGGAGGCGCTCCACCACCATCACGTCCACCAGCTCCTCCACTCGAACGTCCTCCATCCACGCAGTGACCTGGTGCCCGATCGCGCCCTTCAGGTCCAGCAAGCCTTGCTGCGGCGTCAGTATGCCAGGGCGGCCCTCGCGCGGGTGCATCATCTCGTCCTCCTCCAGGCCCGCCTTGCTCGCCTCCTCCTCGATCTCCAGGTGCGCTTCCCCAGCGCGAATCTGCAACACCTGTTCGGCTCCACGATCCAGCTCGTCCCTGATCTCCTCCACGCTTGACTTCGTCGCGACCGCCCCGAAGCCCTCGTCGCTCGCATCGGTCATGTAGACCGTCGTGTGCCACTCCAGCCCCAGGTTCGCCTCGAAGAAGATGGCCAGCGCCCCCAGGGCCTCCAGCTCGTCCGCGACAGCGAGGGGAAGCCGCTGCACCCTCTCGGCGGCCTCGCCTTCGAAGCTGCCGACCCAACGGTAGCAGGCGTCCAGGATCGCAACGGCAGGCCTGCAGACCAACATCGCCCAGGCCCAACAGCCCACCACCGTCGCCAGATCCCGCCGCCGAACGAGCTGGACCACCACGATAGCCTCGATGCAGAGCACCAGGTCCTTCATCGTTTCGGGGTAGACCTTCAACGTGTAGGGTCGTCCCGATATGGTGAGCCCCAGCCCCCGTCGGAGCCCTTCGCCAGACCCCTCCTTGTGCACAGCGAGCCCCCTGCTGTTCAGGTAGCTCCGCACGCGGCCCTTGATCACCTCGAGGTCCCCGTCCTCCCCGTCCTTCACGAGCTTCAAGCCGATGTAGTCGTCGATGTACAGCAGCAGCAGAAGCTCGGCCCTGACGAAGCTCGGACATGCCTTGCCCAAGGTGATCTGCTCCGTGGACAGGCCCCCCATGGACTCGAAGCAGTCGACCAGGGCAGAGAGAGCCAGAAAGACCGCCCAGGCCGCGCCCATGACGGGGGCGACCGACCCCGTACCCACAGCACCTGCGGGTGGGGCGGGCAGAGCCACGTCAGCCTCTGCCGCAAAGGCGACCAGCTCCTCGGGCACAACTCACTCTAATGCGAAATGCTCCGCAAGCCCGTCCGCCCACCTCAACCTGTAGAACCAGTCGGGCACATCCCCTTCGAAGCTCCCCAGCACACGGTCATTCAGGATGTCCTTCGTCAACTCCAGCTCGGACAAGGAAGACGGCGACCCCAGCGGGGTCCACGGGGGCCGCCGAAAGAGGAGGTTCACCTTCCGAGCGTCCCAGATGAGGCGGGACTTGACCACGTCTCGCCCATTCTCGTTCACGTCCTTGGCCACGCAGAACAGCCCCACGGTGTGTTTCACCTCCTTCACGTACTGGACCATACCTGATTGCATCATCATCATTGCCACGGTGAGCCTGGTGTGCCGATCCTTCAAGCCAGGGTCGGAGTAGCTCTTGATGCCTCGTACTTCTCCCAGTCCACCTCCTTAGGGTCCTCCAGCATCCCAGATAGGGCGCCGCGGTCGTCGAGAGGGCCACCAGTGGTAGGCCCGCGGCCCCTGGAGGCGGCAACGAAACCTGGTCCGCCACCATCCTGCCGAGGTCGCCTTTCTTGATAAACACAGTAGGTGATGTAGCCTGCTTCTTCCCGCATCCTCCGCCTGCCGTGTAGCCCGAGCTGTCGGGCCCCCGCAGACGGCGAAGAACCGCCCTGCCGTCGCTGATGCTTCCCCACGCTCCGAGAGCGGCGTGGCGGTCCCAGATGTCGTAGGCAACCTTGCGCTGGAGCCCAGTTGCTTCCGCCGGCGAGCTCAGCACAGCCGCCCCATCGGCCATGCCCACTCGCCCCGCGGCCAGAGCATGAAGTGTTCGGACCGACCGACAGGTACGCAGCCAGGTCAAACGTAGCTGCTCCGTCGTGAAGCCCGAGCTCGACGCCCGCGCCGCCAGCGGCGCCGTCGGCGCGGGCAGGCTCCGAAGTGGGTCCCTCTCTCGGAAGTCCATCGCCACCGGGGGCGCGAAGACGCAACACTTGCTCACCTGGAGCACGACGTGAATGTGGTGCAGTGATGTAGCTCAGGTCCGCGATGCACAAGACACGGCTCGAACTGAATTCGCCCCGCAGCCCAGCGTCAACTCGGCAGGCGAGGCCCAGCACGGCGAGCCCCAGGACCTTGACTCTCCTGTTCCACCCTCGGCCTGGCGATCTCCCCGCTGACGATCCCAACGCAGCACAGATCCACAGGGGTGAGCACAGCAGTGCGAGACTTGCCCAAGGGACGCCACTCCAAAGCGCACCCTCGGGCCACCCCTATTCGTCATCCTTGGGCGCCGCGTCCCGCACCGACGACAGGTGCTTCTGGATCTGCGCCCTCTTCCTCAGCTTGCCGGTCACCTCGTCGTCGGCCAGGGGGTCCTCGATGGTGTCCTGCGACGTCAGCCGCAGGTACTCCTCCCCGAGGGACCAGTCCACCTTCGACTTCCACTTGGCTCCGCTCGAATTGCGAGGCCTCTTCCAGTCATGCTCACAGGTGACCCCCTCGTAGGCCTTCATGATCGCGTACATCCTGAGGCAACTGAGCTCTCTCGCCTGCGAGTTGATCAGGCCCTTGAAGGCCCCCGAGGCCACCATGCGGTCCAACGTCATGGCGAGGACCAGCATTTCGTTGGCGATGGGGGCCCGCGTCAGCTCCTTGCTCCTCAGCCACTCCTGGACCCCGATCTTCGCCGAGCAGCCCCCCTGTAGACCTTGCTCAGGACCGTCGGGGCCACACGAGACTTGATCCCCCCACCCGCATGTTGGGTTCGTGCTCGTAGCTCCTCAAAGTCTGGATGAGGGCAGCTCTGGGGTTCTTGCTCTCCAGCTCCAGCTGCGCGATCGCGTCCGAGACGGAGTCCGAGGGGGCGGAGGGGAGCCATTCCCACTCCGACTCAGAGGCGGACTTGCCCGCCTCGCGGCCGCTCTCCTTCGCTCCCTGGTCCGAGTCGCTCGGCACCAATTCCTCGTGTTCGTTCAGCTTGGCGATGAACTGGCCCAGCTGCGCCGTCGTGGGCACGGGGCTCTGGTCCGTCGAGCTGGAGGCGGCATCCGCGGGCGCAGCTGGAATCTCCGCCCTGGACTGCTTCAGCGCCTCCGTCACGGCCGCCAGCCCCGCCCGCAGCTCGCTCTGGCCACGCTGCAGCTCCGCACGCAGACCCTTGGCATCGGGCTCGTCGTCCGAGTCGGGGACCGTGGTCCCGAGAATCAGCTCGCCCTCCGAGACGTCCGACTCCGAGTCTGAGTCCGAGAGCCCTTGCCACCGTCGGAACACGTAGTTCAGGATCCACGCGCCGAGAATCACGCCGCCGAGTCCCATCAGGATCGCCTCGAGCTCACCCGACTCCCAGGCCTCCAGGAGGAGCCCCCCAGTAGTCCGACACCTCCTCCGCCGTCTCCTTCGCGGCCACAGCCGCCTCGTACATCCTGAGGCACAAGGGGCCCAGGTGGAAGTACCGCCAGATCCGCCATGCTGCGAAAGCCCCGCCCGCGAGGCTCCCCCACGAGCGGTGAACCCACCCATAGCAGAGCAGGTTCGACCCCATGGCCCATGCCCAGTTCACCAGCCCGGCCTTCTTCGAGACCTTCTTCTTCCCGCTCGATTTCCAGAAACCCTTCTTCTTGTCGCCCGCCTTGCTCAGCTTGACATTCTCGGCGTCCAGATCCTTCCGTGCGATCAGTCGCGAGGAAGCCGCCAGCACCATGCCCCTAGTCTTGTCCGTCAAGCCAGGGAAGGGCGTCCACGTGCTGATGCCGCGGGGCGGCTTCGTGAACACGGATTGCTTGTCCTTCAAGCACACGATCTGGACCCTGAGGCTTGGATCGACGCAGGTCCACGTCTGGTCGGCCGCCTTGCCGACGCGCTCCACCAGCAACATGACCACGCCCGAGGCTTGGCCCTTGGGCAAGTAGCACACCCTATTCCATTGCGCCCACCCGCCCATGACGAGCGGTGGGCTGCCCACGACTCCGATGTCGGCGGCGTCGTCGACCAGCTCGACCGTCTCCGACGCGGCGGTCTCCTCCGCCACGTCCTCGTCCAAGTCGCCCTCGTTCTCGTCCTCGAACCTCAGGCCGAGGAAGTCCAGGACCTGGTCCTGACTCAGGCCGCCGCCCGCGGCCAGCACCTCCTCCTGGAGGTCGCCCGAGAGCCCCAGGAGCGCGAGCGCCGCGCCCGCGAAAGCGAGTGGCCGCGGAATCGCTCCGCGGTGGGTGGCCGTGCACAGGCACGACCGCAGAAAAGGCCCGCCCGCGGGTCTCCCCGTGCCGACTTTGAGCCTGAAAGGGACGGGGGGGAAGGAGGGAATAAAGGCGGCAAACAGACTACGATGGGGACGAAAAGTTTAGTTCAAGAACCACTAGTCATTTTCGGCCATGCGCGCTGCTGGCAACACCCCAAGCATTTCCATACCCACGCCCTCCCAGGCTGGACGCCGAGGCGCGATATCCCATGGATGCATTCCGCGCGGGGCAGCTGCGCGGGACGGCCCCGTATCCACGGGGCCGCGGACGAGGGGTCTGGTTCGCGAGGCCGCAGATGGGGATTTGTCCACAGGTCCCTGACGCTGTGATCTTTTCAAAACGTGGACCCCCACAGGCCTGCGGTCGGCAATCTCTGCGTAGCGTGTCGCGCCGCCGGTTCTGGCCCACCACCATGCGTCAGCGCGACCCACTAACCGCATCGCCATTTCCAAGCAACCGCCCGCCCCGCGGAGCGGAGCGTCACGCCATCAGCTTGCACAGCAGAGCGTGTTGCCAGGGCCACCGCCGCGACACGCCAAGCAACAGTTCCTGACCGTGCTCGGATGGTTTGTGGGGACGGGCCCGGGGCCCAGGAGGGGGGCAGGCGGAGGGGGGAAGCTTTCTTCGAAGCACCCCCGGTTCTCAGAAGGCCCGGGCCTTCTGTGCACGTAGATGTAAGGCTGGGCCCTTCTAAGAGGCAGCATCCTTCTAAGAAGCCTCCTCCCTTTCCCCTTACCCACGTCTGCGCGCCGCCAAGTTACCAGGCACCGGCTTCTCATCCTAAGTCGTGTTCGGACGGGCCCGGGTCAAGAGGGGGAAGCAGACGCAATTAATCGTCGATTCCCCCCCAAAAAATATCGGAACAGATGGGAAGCGGGGGGAAGACCAAAACGCCGAACATGTGGGAAAAGATAGGGAATCTCGCTATTTGTGTATATCTATTTGTGTGTCCCAGGGGCCCATTCCCCGGGGCCGGGCAGAAGGGCCCCCCCCAAGGGCGGAAAGGGCGGCCAAATGGCTCGGTGCGCGGCGCGAGGAGGCCCGGGTTTTTCCCGCCCACGGTGGGCCTCGAGCCTGCCCCGATCGGGGCGTGCCGAGGTGGTGAAGATCGTGGAGAGGGTGAAGGAGATGTGTCTCGAGGCCGCGGGAGGCGCGCTGATCCTCGATCAGCTGGGGGCCGACGAGACGATCCGGGATCTCAGGAAGGACTGCTCGAAGACCAAGAAGATGTCCCAGGTCCTCAAGGAGAACGGCTTCGACCTCTCCGAGGGGCCGAGGTCCGAGGTCCCGGGGCCGCCCGAGCGGGGCCGGAGCAGATGGGGTCGGGGGATGGCGCCGCATCGCCGACGCGCCAGCGACGCGTCGGCATCGGCAGGCCGATCTTTCGAGCGGTGGAGAGGCGTCCAGGCTTGCCTGCAGGCCCGCCAAAGGACGCCCCAAGAGCCTCCTGTGGGTTGCACGACATGTTTTCATATTCGAGCAGATTTCGTGGTAGGTCTAGAGGGGCGCTGGGACGGTCGGTCCCTTCCAAAATCTTCTCCGCCCCGACGTCGCCGGTGCTTGCGTCGGCGGTGCGGCGCAATCCTCTGACACCACCTGCTCTGGCCCCACCGGAGCAGCCTCCGAGGAGTGCCCGCAGCAGTGCATATGGGTGAAGCTGAAGTGAGGGCCCCGCGCGCAGGGTCGGAGGACGCCCGCCGCGCACCCGCACCGGTCATGGCCGCCAGGCCGATGCTGGGGCTGGGATCTGTGTGTAGTTGGGAGCTTGGGGATAGCGCGTCGCTCCGCCAGTTCTGGCCCACCACGCCTCGGCGCGACACGCTGTCCGCTTCCCTATCCCCCGACGTCAGCGTCCCGAGCTTTTCAGAGCCCCCCGCCCCGCGGAGCGGAGCGGCATGGCATCCGCTCGCAAGGCATAGCGTGTCTCTGGGCCGCCGCAGCGACGCGCCAAGCAAAAGTTCCCGACCGCATATAGGGGGGCGTCGAAGCGAGGGGGGGGGGAGGACCAGTGGTGTGTGGACATCGTGGCCACGGCAACGAAATCTCCCAGATGACATGGCCCCATCGTCCTTCATTACGCCCCCTGGCCACCCTTCGCCGGCGCTCTGCGCAGAGGGCCATGATGCCTCCCCCCCTCTCCCCTCGGCGCACCCAAGCGTATGTGTCTTCGTGGCCAAGCAAGGGGTGTGGTGGTGGGCCTGGACAGGATCGGTGCAGGCCCAGACATTTTCCGATCCGACTTTTCAATCTGCGGCCCCAGAGCTCCCGACCCCTCCTGGGGGCAGTTTTGCGTCCCGGATCCATGTTATACCTGATGGCACCGGGCCAGGGAAGCGGCCCCTGGAGAGGCCGAGATCGAGGAACAAAAACGCCGGGATCGAACAAAACCACACCGTCGAAGGTCTGGTGGGGGGGTTGTACTTGTGGCGACGATCGGGGCGAGTAGCCCAGCTGGGGCAGGCACTACACGCATTCGCCCCTCGCCCAGGAGCCTTTTCGAAGACACAGATCATCGGCGCACCTGCGTACATGTGTTTCAGAGCCCCGAATCATCAGGGGTAACTCGGGTCAGGGATAATTCGGGTTCGTTTCTCGGGAATCCAAACCCGAGTTACCCCGGACCCGAGTTACCCCGGATAACTCGGGCGTCCAGAGCCCCGAATCATCAGGGGTAACTCGGGTCAGGGCTAACTCGGGTTCCTTCTTCGGGAATCCAAACCCGAGTTACCCCGGACCCGAGTTACCCCGGATAATTCGGGCGCCCAAGTGTTGCTCTCCCTTGGGCCAGTCGCCCCCGGTCGTCGCCCCGGACTGCAGCCGGAGGAGTCCTCCCTGCACAGGGGTTGCGGGGGGGGGGGGGCGCCGAGCGCGCTCCCGGACGGGGTGCGGCAGGGGGGGGGGGGGGGGCCGACCCGCACGCGGACGGGGCACGGTGGCGCGCCGAAGTGGCCAGGCCTGTCGCTCGAGGCTCGAGGCTCGAGGCGTTCGGGCGTTTCTCCGATGCTCGTTCTGGGGGGCCTTCCTGGGGCGCGCCTGATGGATCTGTTCGACTCCAGTTCGACTCCAGCTCGACTCCAGCTCGACTCGGGTTCGACTCCAGTTCGACGCAGGTTCGACGCAGGTTCGGCGCAGGTTCGACGGACGTTCGACGCAGCTTAAGCGCACGAGCGGAGCGGCTGGCTCCAAGAAGGTCCCCAGAATGAGCATCGAACGTTTCTCGATGTCCAGACCCTCTCGAGTCCAGTAGAAATCACGACGGCCCTCACCAGGCCTCGGGAAAGTCAACAAAACGACTCGGGACGAACATCCAGTCCCATGGAGTGGGTCGAGTCCTTCGGGGGTCCAGGTTGTGAGGAAATCATGACGTCGGGGGCCAGGGGGAACGAAAACGCTGATCATGACCAGGATGCCACGGGATCTTGTCGACGCCGATCGTGGACATGGCCCATGCCAGCTGGTCGCCGGCTTGCGAGGTGGAGCCACGAGGGCCAAGATCGGCACCGACGCGTCCGCGTCAGTCTTGGCCATGGCCACGGTCGTCTCTCCCTCCAGGTTCCGTCCATTCCTTCGGGCTGTCCAGGCCCAGGATGCCCTCCGGCAGCTGCGCCTCGCCGCGGGCGGTCCGCGGGCTCGCCCGGAGCGTCCCGAGCGGCCGCCGGGGACCCGAGGTTCGGGGGCGGCCACGACGGGGGTGCTGATTTCGGGAGGGGATATCCTGGCCGGGGCCATGAGAAGGAGGAGGAGGAGGAGGAGGAGGAGGAGGAGGAGCAGGAGCAGGAGTAGGAGGAGGAGGAGGAGGAGGAGGAGGAGGAGGGGGAGGAGGAGGAGGTATCTCCCCAGATGTTATGGCGCCTCTTCATACATCAGCCCGTCCTTTGGCCCCCCATCTCGGCCGCGCACATGCCTCGGGTCATGATTTGCGTCCCCCCTCTTGGACGTCCCCCTCTTGGCCGCCTCCACGGGGTGTAAGCTGAAAGGCAGCCGTCCGAAGCCTCGACGAGGCAACATCGAGGCGGCCGGCTTGTCGGAGTTGTGCCGGCCTCTGGAGAGGCCTGGAGAGGCCGGACTTGGGCCTCGGGGCCGTCAACGAGAACGGCTCAGCATGACTAGCCGGCCGGCTCTGCGGAAGGGGTCGAGGGGTCTGGGGGCCCACGCAGCTCGAGCAGTGGCGAAGCGTCTTGGCGTGCCGATAGGCCTACCAAGCAATGTTCTAAGAACCTGTTGGTGGTTTCCACGAAATGTTCTTAGAACATTTCTGGCTGGGACTGTCTTGCTTTAACACACCAGGCTTATGTTCTAAGAACATTGCATTTGTTCTTAGAACGCTTCTGTGTTCTAAGTTCTAAGAGCATGTCGTGGTAGGCCTACAGGAATGCCGGGACGGTCGGTCTCTGCTCAAATGCATCGAACAATTCGAGGCGCCGGGTATCTGGGTCGCCTTGTTTCTTGCTCGGCCTGCGGCGGCCTCCCTCGTCGCCACTTCTGGACGCGGCTCGGCCACCGGGCCGGGCGGGGCTCTCGTTCTCGCCGTTTCGGGACCTTCAGGGGGGCGCGGCTCGGAGGCAGCTGGATCGTGGGAGGGGCCCTGGACCAGAGTTGATTAGTCTGAGGTCGGGGCGAGGGGGAGCGGCTCTCTCTCTCTCTCTCTCTCTCTCTCTCTCTTTCTCTCTGAGAAGAGGGCGGCCCGCCTCCCAGATGCCCTCTTGCACCAAGAGGCCCTCTCAGAGGCCCCTGGAAAAAGGGGCGGCTGCCTCCCGAGGTACATCACATAGCCATTGCCATGCCCACGCCCTCGCGGTCTGGACACTGAGGCGCGACGCTCCCGAATGCGCGACCCCGTGGGTGAGTTCCGCGCGGGGCATCCGCGCAGAGCCGCCCTGGGTCCATGGGGGCCGCTTTCCTCCGTACACCGGCGCCTCGAGGCGCTTGGGAAACCAGCTGATTACGCGAGCCGATGCGCTGACGCCTTCTTTCCTGCAGCCCACACCAAGCCCCGCTCCTCCTGGGCCGACCCGAGGGGTCCGGGGTGGGGAGCGGCTCGCGGCCTGGGCTCCTCCTGCCCAGAAGGGCCCCGCTCCCAGAGATCCGACGTCTTGAGTTGTTCGCTAGGAGAAAAAACAAAAAGCACAAAAAACACTGTTGTTTTTTGTTATCGCTGTTGTGTTTTTTTTTTGTGTGTGTGTGTGTGAGAGTGTGAGTGTGTGTGTGTGTGTTGTGTTTTGTTTTCCCACCTGTTGTGTTTTTTTTCACGGAAGTCTGGGCCCTTTTTCCCCAGGGCCGGCTTGTCATGGCGCCAACATCGCAGAGTGGATTTCGCTCGGAAAACGGAAGGATGGGCTCGGAGAGCCCTGGGGAATTTCGCTGCGGATTTCGAGGCGAATTTCGTGTGGATTCTTGGGCCAGACACATATTACGCGGACACCTCACGCACGCACACGACCAAATGCACATACGGCAGACACACATACAGAGACACACTAGGCGCACGCCAGACGCTAGCACGCACAGACATTCGCAGACACGCACCACACACAGACACTCGCACAGGAGCGTGTCAGGGCGTCGAGGGGGCTTCTTGGGGGCTTTGGGGGGCCCCCTTGGGGGCTCTTGGGGCCTCCTGGGGGCCTCGTGGGCTGGAAGGCTAGATTTTTTCTGCTTTTCGTTCCTCTTTTGGGTCTTCTTGGGGCCGCCTTAGGGGGCCTCTTGGGCCGTCTTGGGCGGCTTTTGGGCCGCCTTGGGGCCCTCTTGGGCCGTCTTGGGACTGTCTGGGGGCCTCCTGGGCCGTCTTCGAGCGGTCTTGAGGGCCTCTTGGGCCGTCTTGGAGCGTCGGAAAGCCGAAAAAAGCGACAACCCCAAAAACATGAGAAAAAAAAAAAACCAATGGGAAAGCAACGATTTTTGCCTCTGGGGGCCCTCGTGGGAGGCCTCTTGGAGGCCTCTTCAGACGTCTTGGAAGGCTCTTGGGCCGTCTTGGGGCCATCTTGGGCGTGTTCGGGCGATCTTTTGGGGTCTCGGGACTTTCTTAGACCGTCCTCAGACTTTTGCGGCCGCGGCCACCCTTTTAGCGCATCCTCGAGATTAGAGCCTTCTGTAAAAGCAGCCCCCCCGCATCCGCCGGAAACTCGCACCCCCCCCCCCATCCCCCCTTCCCCGGCAGAGCCACCCCGGCAACCCCCCCAGAGGCTGAGGCTCAGCCTCGAGGCTGTAGTTGAGACTCCTTGAAACTCACACGCCGGATCGGCGGATTTAGCTTTTTCACTCGTCGTTTCGGGTCTTGCACTGGCAGAAATCAATGCAGCAATCCGCTGCAGCACGTCCGCAAGGCTGGTGCAGTGAGGCCTGTCTTCTCGAGTCATTGCTCCACGCTCCCCGGGCCCGGCGAGGCCCCCCTCCCCGAATCCCGAAAACGACCCCCTTCCCTCCCCTCGGGTCATGGTTTTTTGTTGTGTTCCTGCCCACGGCGCGAGCACGTCTGGGCTCGCTCCTCCATTCAGCGCTCCCTATGGCAGCACGATCGCCCCGCCTCGCCGTCCTGCGCGCCGCCAGTGGGGGGGAGGGCGCCCGCGCGCGCGGCCGCCCCACAGCCACGGCGTCTCCTCGGCGGCAGCCTGGCGGCAACGGAAAATCCCCCCCCGGTCTTCCAGGCCTCCCCCATGGGGTTAATTCGGGCCTGTCCTTCTACAGGAGGAATATCCAGAAGTATTAAACTTACCCTGGCGACGTACCCAACCCCTGGGCAATGCGGGGCAGGAGTAGCTTGGGAGATTTGACGAGAAGGCGGCGACGTGATATTGACACATATCTTCTGCGAGCGGCATTCGTAAGTTTCGCAGGTGCCCAATCAATGGAAAAACGATGAGTAACCAAGTGAACCCCTGAGTCACTTAGGAAGACGCAAGGTCCAAACGGAGACGGTGGGCAAGGGGCTTGAAACGTCGGCTGGGCAGCAACAACATGACATGGCCCCCCAGGGACGGCGAGGTCCCGCTCAGGTCGCCGCAGTGCCTCACTCCGCCACGGCGGACTTCGAACACCCCATCAGCTGCGCGCGCGTCCCCAGCCCCCCCCCCTGCCCACCCCGCCCCCCTTTTACCGCTTCCCAGCGTTCCTCAGTGGCCCAGTGGAACCTCCGCCCAGTGCCCCCTCCGCCTCGGCCATTGTATCCCGCGTCGCACCGCGCCCGTCTCCTCCTATCACCAGCGCCCCCCAGAGGTCCCTGACCATTTTATTCCGCGTCGCACCGCGTGCCCCCCCCCTCCCTGCCCGCCCCCTTCGCAACTCTCCCCAGCGTGCTCCAACGGCCCAGTATAACTTCCGGCCAGCGCCCCCTCCGCCCGATCATTTTATTCCGCGTCGCACCGCGCCCGCCCCCCCCTCCCTGCA